TACGCTTTAGTATTTTATGAATTTCATTTGAATCTTAACTTATTACTTTTAAATTATTATGGCATCAAAATATTATAATGTTAGACTATAATGTACGATGTATAATGATAATTAACTGAACTAAATAATATTAGTGTAATAAAATTGTATATTTTTTGTTGATAAAAGTTGCATGTGCTATACTTTGGTAGTTAGGTACATAGTATTTAGTTCTTCAATTTAATATAGTTGATGGATGATATGTGTTGATTGTCATACAATATTATGGAATGTTTTTCAATATAACCTGGAGATTGATCTTTTGTTTATTAATAACACGATTACATAAGTATAAAATGGAAAAATGTTTATATTTTCATAATGCATAACGATTATACTTCAAGTGAATTTTTTTTCTGGATTTGTGTTTGAGAGAATTGTTTGGTTTCGTCTCGATGGTACAAATGTATTGTGTTATTACTTAGCAAAAAATTTAACATGTTTTAATTTAATTTGCTGCACGTATATTGAATAATCGTCAAAGAACATTATTGTTTGAACTATTAAAGAACATTAAAATGATGTTTGATAAACACATGTTATGCAAATTTAACAGTGAGATCCCAAAACGAGGTCATTGCTCTTGTTTTATTCTGTTTCATATATTAACGGTAATTCTATGATAATAATATGTGAATGGTAGTTTTTTGTGTTATAAAATTCTAGTGTAATGTGATGTATTTACTAACTCTTTCATAAGAAAATTTGAATATTTAAAGATTGTAATATTATTTTTACATTAAACGCCGGGAGGAAATATTTTAAAAGCACATAATATGATTACATTTAATACGTAAGACCCTAGGAATAATTAAAAAAACATTATTGTTTTTATATACATTATTATTATATAATAGGTTTATTAGATATGTAGTTGTCACATCCTACATATATATTAGGTACTCATAATTAATTTGTCTCACACACGTTTTGGCATTAATATGAAAAGTATTGAAAATTAARATATAACTAATAATGATTATTTGAAAATGGAAAAATATTTTTCCGACAAATTTGATATTATAATGGGTGCCTATAAACTTAAATTAATTAAAACCATAACATTTAAACACYATATACAAATTAATATAGACCTTCGTCACATATAATTCTAGTTGATTCATTGTATGCCGATGTGTTCATTATTATTCTGAAGCAGATGCAATTTTTTTTTTTTTTGAAGTTTGCGAGTTTCCTTTAATATTTTAGACGTCTGGTTCTCATTAACAATACTTCCATTTCTGGTTGATTCTATTTAATTTCCTGTTAAAAATGTGGCTACCTCAATATTATAATTTATAATATTATATACATAAGCTTTTAATGAATCAAACCTTATATGATTTTACAGTAGGAATACAAAATATGGTTTTAATGTTGTACAAATTTAAAAAAAACCTGAGAAAACTGGTGATGGTAATTTTTATGTTATAATTATTCATACAACCATACCTATTCAGCTATGCTCAGTACAATGGTTTTCCTATCCCAATAATTCATTATTTGAATATAATGAGCTATTCTTAGTTACTTGTTCAAAGGCTATAATATGCATGCACTTTCCTTTTATATTACCAACGATTATTTTTCATCCAGTAAAATTAAAAATAAATATGGGGGAGCTGATAACTTCGAGTTTTGACCTCTTCAATGGTGTATGCCATGGAGATAGAGCTGTGTGAATTAATTTCACGTMGTCGAGGTCAACGACTAGCCAAATTGCAAAAAGTACGTGTACAAAATATAACAACGTGTATGATGGTGGTCGGATGGAAGGGGTAAACTGTTTTATTGTAATATTGTACAAAGTATATATTAGGTACTCTTAAATTATACATTTATATAGTTTATTAGGAACATCTCGCCAAAAATCTAAAGTACTAGAGTCRTAACATTATTGCTTTATTATTATTTTAGGCGCATAGCATGTGTTGTGTTGAATWAAAGTATTTCCTACAACATTTGATTAACTGATTTTGACAATCAAAACTCGAAAAATGATTCATTCAGTGCGCCTTTATAATATTTTGATTTTTTTTGAAAAATGTAATTAATGTGATGTTGAAACATTAAACACTGTTTGTAGTATGGCATAGGTTTAACGTATTTACTGCAGTAAATATAAAAATGACAAATCATGCCTATATATAAAATAATATAATATGATGTTTATCATGTGCTACTATAAAATATATTTCGGATTTGATAACCATTATAAGAAGAAAGAAAAATTAATACTACTTCAAGAGGATAATGACCGTCGTGCCTTTTGAGCGTTATTAAACTGGGTTGTGGGGTTACGTGTTACAGCACATCTGGTCACGGTTAATGGGCAGATGTATGGGGTTTCGGGTTTCCGAATTTTGAAAAGATTTCGCGTGTTTTAAATGTTACACTTCTTGGGAAAATATTCACTAATAAGTAGTGTTTGGCGAACATTCATATATACCAGAACCTACAAAGACATGAGACAACTGCATAGGGCATTATGAAAAATCCATAAATAATATTGTTTTGTGTACATGTTCAAACTATCGTGTAATTTACGAGATTTCTGTAAGTATGATCATATAGGTTGTCACTTGTCAATATTTCAACTCAGAGTTCGCTTTGCTATAATGCTCATTAGTTATTTTAGTTATATTATACACAATAATTGGATATTACAGAAACCATATATATTAAATTATAATAAATCAATAAGTTGCAAGAAGATTGATGTAGGAAAATATATTAATAACGCTCGATTAGACATTATTACTTCCATCATAATCAGTATCACCTTAGAAATCAATGCGATACCAAATTCGATACTTACAATAAGTAAAATAATAAATAAATAAATAAATAAAAAAATAATAAATAACGTACATGATAGGTACATCAATGTATATATTATGATCGTCAAGTTTRTTGATTACTTGATATAACTTTTTATAAAAAACTATTTAAACAATTACACCTATTATCCTTATTTATTTTATTGGTGCTTTTAAATAAAATGTATYMWWAMRAATGTCTTGATGTTTCCTTTAATTATCTTTTTAATAAAATTTATTAAAAAATATGATTTAATAATGCAT